GGCGTTAGATTCGATTGATAAGCCCTGACCAGAGCGCTGCTGTGGGCTTGATTTGTATCCTGCGATTTGTTAATTGGGATTCGCTCCTTGTGCGTCGCCTTTGCCCGCTCCTGGCCGGTGGCTTCGCTGCGATTGTTGTTGTTGTTGTCAACGACACTTTGGGTCGCCGGCAACTCGGAGACATGGCTGACGCCTGCCTTGTCGATTAACTGATAGCTTTCGTCAATGAAAGCCACCAAATCCTGGCAGGCCTGCTGCAATTCCTCCTGTGTGGCCGACGGGACTGACGATGTCGCCGCCGTCTCCTGTTCAGCCTCGGTGTCGTCTTCGTCGTCGCTTTCGATTACATGCTCGATTATGCGCAGGTTATCGTAGTCTATAATCCGAGCATAGCCCATCTTGAGCGCCAGGCCCGTCAGCCTGGCCACATCCTTGTCGTCGCTGTCATCGTTGTAGGTGAAAACATCGAAGGCGTGTGCCTGCTGTGCTTCTGCCGGATCTTTGGGGCTCTGTTCCGATGGAGATTCCTTTGGGAACTCTAGCAAAACTGTCATTTTGGTGTTCAGCTCGTAATCCTTATTCGTATCGACTGCTACTCCGTTGGTTGTCGTAGTTTCCTGCCCTTCCTCGGGTATTTGCTCGAGCTGGGACTCTGCAATCTTGAGCTGTTCGTCTTCGGTTTGCGTGCTGTTATCGATAAATATTTCTGCCCCTTCATCGGTGGCGGTTGCAGAAGACATTCCGCAACTTTCGTAATAAACACATTCGTCGCACACCAAGTCCAACTGTGTCTCAGTCGACGGTGTCTTCAGGTGAGAGCTTACAGTTGCTGCTGCCATTATTATTCAAAGGCACATTTGATTATATTCGAATAGATCCAAAGAATGCTCCTTTTACTTGCCAATTGCTCTGGGATTAAGTATTGGGTGAAAGCTGCCTTGATTCTCGTGTGATTAAGGGGCGAAAAGTTTGGTGCAGTTGCTTACTTTTCGTCAATAATACCATTTTTTCTGAGCTCTGATTTTGTTTAACTTTATATTTATCAAGCTGTACTCAAAATTGTATTGTTTTTTTGTATTTTCAGCGCCTGAAAGTAAAAAAGGTAAATGTTATAAATTACTTCTACCAAAAAACTGGCATCAATAAAAAAAATTCAAAAAAAAAACGTAAGATGCTATAGTCGGAAATGCCCGAGTGGGGGATACCCTGAAACTTCTTGTACCAAAACCTAGTATTTTTAAAAGTCAAAAGTTAACAAAAAAAAAGCAAGTAAGAGTGCTCTAGTCGGGAGTGCCCGACTGGGGGATACCCTGAACCTTCTACCTTCTACTAAAGTCGAACGGCATCGCTTCATACCTTACAATCATATCAAGAATTGAATTTCGTTGGCAAAAATAGAACTTAACACGTTTTCGTTAATAACATCTGTGTTCCTTAACCGATTTGATACAATTTTCAGAAGTATATCTTATTGTGCCATAGAAAAAAACATCAGCCTTACAACAGCCTGTGGCTTACATTTGTTGTGTGTTCAAACTGCTATTCGTATTTTTCTAATTTAGCAATATCCCTAAAAATTAAATACTCTGATTAAGTGTGAGTATCAGACGAGAAGCTATATGTTAAAGTTGATGTATCCAGCTCTTAAAACCTAAGATTTCGATATTCATTGTTAACAATTGCTTGGAAACGGGGAAAGTTATCGAATATCTGAAACAAACTCTTACTGCGCTGGCAACTAGGAGGACCTAGGTTCAAAATTTCTAGTCTCTTGCTTTTATAGGTTCTCAGATACTTGCGTTCATTCATACGGACAGAGCTAGATCAAGTCGTCTTTTGATGCTGAGCATGTATTCTTTATTGGGTCGAAGATACTTTTTTCTCCCTGTGACATACATTTGCACAAAACCAATATACCCTTTTTACCCATTTTCAATGGGTTCAGGGTATAAAAACGAGCTATTTTGGTTCCCAAAAATGGCGTACGAACGTCATCAAATATTAATTTTAATCAAAAGTTAATCATAAATGCAAGAGGAAACAGATGGGAAATGTTCCAGTGATTTCTGTTGCTGTTGGTGCAATTGTTTGACCAACAAATAAACCATTTTTTAATGACTTTTACAAAAAATATTAAATACAAAAGTACATTCGGTTATCAGAAATTGGTAAGGTTTTGAGCCCGAATCAGTAGTAAGTACGTACTTAAAGATATATATTTAACACGAATTCTTACGTACGAATACAGACTAAGAATATTTACGTGAAAGACGAATAGGTATAATTTTTGAACTGGATAACGTTAATCTGCATTATCTTCTCGAACCCATAAATTACTAGGAAAGTAAACTCGTGAAGGTTATTGGTTAAAGAGCTGCTTTTCACGAACCCAAGCTGGGAAAGTGAAATAATTAGTAATTAGATGATGAAGCATTAAAGTTTACAAAGTCGAAGGTGCGTACACAGTATCTAAGCTGGGGTATAAACGACTATTTCCGGTGATTAGCGATATATTTAAACGCTGCTCGCAGTTTATGCTGATTGGATGCTTCTTTTATATCAAGAAAATAAGTTGTTCAACGACAAAGCCCGAATTCTTCGCATTGTCGTTTGCAAACGAGCTTTTCATTCCATTCTCCCTTTTCAATAATAAACATTAGTATCATATACATATTCTTTCTAAAGCAAATATTGTTAATTTGTTTTCGATACCTATTTTTGTTTTGTACCTTGATGTCCACAGACTATTTCTCTGTAATGTCTAAGACCTAAAGTATTAGCTAGACTTACATTATTTACAGAGTATCAGCTTCATCTGTTTGTTAATTTAATTCTGAGCAGCTTAAAGAACTTCTATTAACAACATTTGTCGACATCAACAAACGTCTTGAAAGAAAATCTATTAATACTTAAAACCTTGCTTTCTGTCAATATGTTTGCTACCCTCCTCAGCTTCCTTGAAGGAAAAAAATCTCATCGTAGTGGTCGTCAACACGTTCTCTGTAACCAAGGAAACTCGAGCTGGAATCACCCCAACGCAACGTCCTTGCCTCTTGACTCTAGCCTCTTAACCCCAATGATTTCACCCTCGACGACACATCAATTATCTACGAAGCAAGCTGTATTTATCAGACTATTGACCAACTGCAGCGACACTTGAATAAGTTTGAGACGTGGGTCCAATTGGCTAATCAACAGGTAAAAGTCAATTTGCTCAACAAGTTGCTGCCAGGCGAACTGCTCGAGCATAAAGAGGGACATCGCTTCCCAACACATGCCAACAATATGTCACGGTTTACAACAAAAATTAAAAAAGGTTGAGTGTTAAGCCGCACTTTAAGCAACTTTTAAGAATTAAACATTAATGTTAAGCTTCTAATCCAATTAGGTAAATGCTAAATGACCAAAATGCGTTCTTTCATCCCACACACAAACGTCCTTTATGTCAAAAGATTACAGAGATTACAGAGCTTTGTATTTGAACAGGCTTCTAGGAATGCAGCTAATAAAATATATATAGACGCATCCTGCTGAAAAGGATGCTTACAAAGTTAATCAAGTCAAGCGTCAAGGGGCTTAGGGATTCCGACTAATGACGAGCTCGCCACAGCCAATTAGTACATCATTGCGCGTCTCTTAATCTGGCTAATGCTATTCACTTTTTTACCTCGATTTCAATGGTTGGTTTAAAACATATGTGTACAAATGTCACATAAACACGCAGGGGTCAAACTTCATTTGAGCTAAAGCAAAAACCAAAGCATACTTAAGAGGGCCCACGCGGGATTCATATATATATTCGCATATTATGTTACAGCCGTGCTCACATTTGTTTCTGAATTCCGTAATAACTGTCCATATGGCACGACTTTTTAGCTGAGGTTAGGTTAACCTAATTCGCGAATACAATTTGATGGTGTACAATAAATTATTGTAATTAACATGTGCATAATTATATATATCGAAATAATTATAATATTTATGAAAGTATTTGTGTCTGCATTATCAATACATTGCCTACAAAATTATTAATACGATTCTATTTCTGACAAAAGCTTGTGCGTTGGCAGTTTAATTAAACATTTAATTTGCCATATGTCAACGAGTTTGAGGACTTTTGGCATCATCGCAGTTTTATTTGTAGCTGTATTGAATGGCATGTTAGGATCCCAGTTGGAAAATCGATTTTGATTTCATGAATTAACTAAATCATTATGACCAGACTTTATCTTTCAATGCGTATACAGGCTGCGATAATTTTCATTCATGATAAACGTTGGCAGATAAAACTGAGCAATTAGAGAAAAGTTTTCGAGTTCAACCATCAACCAATTATTACTGGGAAATTATACTTTATTCTTTATACTGACAACGTCATCCTTTCAAGGCAGTTCTTTTGTAATATTATCTAGTAAACTGATACTGCTAACTGCGATAAATACACCTTCTGCAGCGAAACTGAGAGAAACTAAAAATGAGAGGCAAAGGATATATCCCTTTACTGCCTTATCGCTGCCTTGATTACGACTATTCCTTCCCCTTTGCAAAGCTATAAAAATCAGAACAACACAACAATCCGAGCTAGAAACTATTCAATTAATTACAGCATAGAGTAAAATAGAGAAAAATATATTAATTGTGGTATTTTATACGTGACGGACTGCGCCATATTTCGGGCCCCTAACTATTTATTTGCACAGCAATAAAATCAAACATAAGTAAGAGAAAAAATGATGAAATATGATGAGCAATATATTCTCCAAGATTTCTGAGTAAAAATGCTTACTTAAATGCTTTGCCTTTTATCTGGTGGAAAAGTTTTTTAATTACAAATAAGTCTTTATACGAAATGCAATTATTTAAGTAGAAACCACTTGGCTCTAGCTTCTAAGAGCCAAATAAAACACTAAAAGGATTATTTAACCTCACAATTAATAGAATTTGACTTGAAACGAAGCAGGCTAACTTTGAATATTTCGAATCACCAGAAAATGTATAAAATGTCGTTCATTTTCAATAGTTATTAGACAACACGGAACATTCATAATCTACTATAATATAAAGTTTTAATTTAAAGAAGTTATCGAAATGCCAAACTTTAACGGAGCCATCATTGTGCACACGCTGCAGTTGATCAAGACCCCAGCGACGCTTCGCGAGATTGTGGTAACCATTGCCAAGAACACGGACCTGGCGCAGGAAGATCTGATGAAGCCCGTCAAGCAGACCCTGGATATGGGCTACCGCATGGGCTTCCTTCAGAAACTAAATGGTACGACAAACATATTGAAATCAAAAGGTTCCCGTTTCGTTTCACATTCGATTCCGCAGGAAGATACTTTTTGGTGCCGATGACCTTTGACACGCTCATGGCTGAAATGAAGTCGGTCGGCCAGCCCGCCCGCAAGGGCGCGCCAGAGCCCGAAAAGGCCGAGCCCAAGCCCAAGATGGACAAGAAGACCGCCAAGCAGAACATCATAGCCAAGAACCACACTCAGAGCCAGTATCAATCGGTTCTAGACCACGAGTCTACCACCACATTGATGCCATTACAAACGATGCACTTAAAGCCGGAAGCGCTGATGATGCGCAAGCCGAAACGGTCGCATGTGCCCATTAAATAGATGACTCTTCCAAATGCCTTTGCTGGGCTTCGCAGTTGGGAAACTAACCGAACTGCGCTTGAGGCATCGTAAATTTTCCGTTCGCTAATTGATTTTTTGTTTTTGGTAAATAATAAAAATAAAAAATTGAATGATACGTTAAGTATCATAGCACAGCTAGATTGAGATTGTCGAACTTTTCAATTTACCTTAAATATAGCGAAAACCGACAAAATATTAGCGCGTCAATTAGTCTATGTATGTCCAAATTGTTGAAAATTCTATGGAAATACTATTAGACCCTTTTGCAAGAACCAACAGAACAAAATGCTGCAACGCACTTTGAAAAATTGCCTCTCATTTGTGCAAGTTGACAAATGTCTCAATTAGCGGGGCCATCTCGGATGGGGTCCTGAAGCTGGTGGGCGTGCGAGGGGGGAGGGGGGGAATGGGTGGAGCACGAAAATGACATCGACGCGTCGTTTTCCTCAATTTGAAAGCCAAATGAAGCGTCGCCTCTGCCAAGCTCCCCGTTTGCAGTGTGCATTGACCATATGGTTAGCCCAGCCAGCCGCCCACGACCGTTACCACTCCCACTGTCCGTTCTCCTTTCCGACCTTTGCGATGACGTCGACAGCAGCAACGACTGCTACGCCGGCAGAGAGCAACGCACGTCAAAGTAATGCAAATGGAGTCTAAGCACATACCACATACCGGGACGGGACCAAGAGTTAGAAAGAGAGCGCTACATGCGTGAGCGCGAAACATGGTGAGTAACGAGCGCGTGTTGAGTTTCTATCCGAGAGTGCAACAAATGTTTGTCTCGGTCAACTAGTAGGTAACGGTAAGGACGTGTGCCGAGGGGATTTTGCCTTTGCTGCGTGGGCGCTGTTCACTAAACAGTGTAAAAAGCGAAAAGTGGGATTCTCCCTCGACATCGTTTCGGCATACTGGCATAAATACTTATGTATGTACATATGTATACGCTATAATCGTAAAAGGGAATACTCCTCTCTGCGCGTCCTTGTGTAAAGGTGGGCGCAAGCATTTAGAGCATGTATTCACGTTTAACGAAGGCAACTACATAGATACTCTTTTCCTAGTATAATAACAGACTAAAATAGGTTATTTTCTTAAAAATCAGTATTTTAATAGGTCAATATTAAAGATCATGGATTGTGTCAACAGTCTCCGACTAGAGAAACCCCACACCAAGCGACACCAGCTTATACGAGGTTTAATAAGTATGTGTTCTTTGTAAAATTAAAAATAACAAAAGCCGAAAACAATTTCTTAAAAATTCGTTGTTTTGTTATTACTTCTGGAAAAATATATCGATTTGTTCAATTTGATTTCATTAGCTCTGACAATCTGCTACATTTGCCTAATTATGTTATGATAGGAATAAAGAGTTACGCTCTAAATTAAAAAAGGCTCTTAAAAAATGTCAGACAGATATGGTGTGATTTACTTTGGCTCTAGTTGCTGATAAAAAAAAGTTTACTCGGAGATGCGTGTCACATACATTTACATTAAACCAAAAGACCCTATTGAAAGAACATGGGTACATTTATCGCATTCATATAACCGCGTCAAACTGTGATAAAAGGGTTGACATCGCCCTCTTTTCAGAAACGTCATACGACTGCAACGGAAAATATCGGACTTTTGCATTTCTCCGACCACAGACTAACACGTTTTCTGGAAAATTTCTAGGGAAACGACACTATACATTATATGTGTTCAGCATCCGAGTCGGTCTGAGAATATGAGAATATTGAGAATGTTGAGAATATGTCCATATGTCGGAACATTTGTGCCCCTAACCCACTCCTTTTGACATGTATGTGCATGGATTCTTATTTAGCTTTCAGAAATAAGAAACATATTGCCTCTTTAGATACTATTCCTCAAAAGCGTCATCTCTGTGCCCTTAAAATTGTACAAAGGTCTGTACTTGCCTGCTAAGAGACAATTTAAAATATAATATAATAAACTGTTAATTAAACAATATTTGTTTAATTGTGAATTTAAATAACAACCTGTTACGCGAACCAATCTTGACGTTTGTTAGTTGAGCGTAAACTTGTAAAAGTTTGAGAGAGCTCAGAGGACGGTCGGGGGGGCACGTGGCAGTAGACGTCTGCGAAGCATATGCCACGCAAAGCTTATCAACCGTTAATGCCATGCATTGGAAATACATATATAAATGCAATTAACTGTCATCTAATCGAAAAGCGTTGTACAACAACGCAAAAGACCACACGAAAGTGCGTAAGAGCTTTAATTCCCAGCAGACCTATGCACACATGCACACACATATGTATATAGATAATTATGCATTTACATACTATATAATGCATGTTTTCTTACACTAATGTACACACATATGTACGCATGTAAGTGTATGTAAATGGCAAGACATAAAAACGTAGACGTGCAACAGCAGCGCAATTTACGTTGACGTCGACAGCGGTTGGCAATACACTGAAAACCAAATAGGCTTCAGTTTTACTTTGCGCGTGGTGAGTAAGAAAGCGTTACTGCTCTGCCCGCTGCGAAGCCCTGGCCATGCCTCAGCGGCGCATTATGTTGTTGTTGTGGTTTTTGTTGTTGCTGCGTCAACTGGTTGAGTTGCCTCGCTGAATGCACTTGTTTGCCAGTTTTTGTTGCTACGTTTTGTTGCTTTGCTTTGTGTGCCACAAACTATTGCCAATTCACACACACAAAAGCTAAAATATATGTGTGTATATAAGTATGCGTGTGTGTGTATACATGTACATACATTATACGCGCGTGTGCGTGAGTATAAAGTTAGCATATTGTTGCCTTTTACTCCCAATTCGCCGCATAAAAAGCATCATAAAACGCAGCGGTCACAGCTGAACATGAAAGCAATTAAAAATTTATGAAAAAGAATTAAAAATGCTATTTCCTAATAGCTTGCCTTTGACTTACCAGTTGCTGCAACAAAACAGCAGAAAATGTTTTCGTTATTTCGCACACCACACACTCACACATACATATACATATGTACATACACAGGCACAAATTCAAAACACATACGGCACGAACGCGAATATGAGCACGAAGAAAACAAACCTATCTAACTAATAGAAACAATTTGTTATTGTTTTATTTAGCATGGCACAGTGTTTTTTTGGACTTGTTATGAAAGTTCGGTTCGTTTGGAAAATGCGTTACAAATTTGCAATTTTAGTCGAATTTAACTTGTTGGCATTTGGTTTAACATTAACCAAAGCAACAGAAAACACAACAACAGGCGACACACGAAGACCCAAACGCGGCAAACGTTTGATTTTGATTGACGCTGGGGCACCATGGAAAACTGCAAACGAGCCAAAGCCCGCTAACGAGCATCGAGCATCGAGCATCGAGCAGCGAGCCGACCGACACGAGCGCACGAAGCTAAATCCGCAGCGATAGCAATGTTTGAATACTGCGTGGGAGCAACGCGCAAGAGCAGTGCCTACAAGTTGCATGCAAATTCTTTTGTACGTGGGTGGCTAAACTCCGTTAAGTGGAAGAGAGAAGGCGCGACGGCGGGTAACGGCAACGGCAACGACAACGGCAACATATGTACATATTTCGATTGTTCTCTGACCACAACCTGTGTGAGGGCAGGCGGCAAAAGCTTTTTGCTTTTTTCTTGCTGCCGGCAGAAAGTCAACAGCTGTTTTACAGTTTCACTGGACTTTGACAATATTAAAATTGTTAAAGATTAGCACAGTAAATCAAATCGAAATCATAGCTTACGCATTTTATTAAGTTACGCACTGTGTATAAACATTGTATGTATAAATATGGTCTACCGTTAGAGAGGTAAATGTTTCAATGTTTTTTTTCATACAGGGAATTGCGCATTAGTCAAGTGTCGCCGATTCAAGAAAAAAGATAGCGAGCCATGGCACTCCCCTCTCCAAAAATGTTCGTGATTTTAATAGTCAAAAGCTTGCACAGAAATGGTGTGTGTCTTCGATAATACCGTTATCAACGTAAAGCTTTTGGCCAGTAACAGTGTTTTTGCTCTCACTTGGTACAAAAACACTTGTTAGTTTTCCGCAGCTTAATCCACCATTCAAAGTCGTTAGGGATGATCTTGGGCTTTGATTGGAAGAACTTCTTCTGAAAGCGATCGCGATCCTGCAACCAAATCCGCGCGTACTCCCCTCCTAAGAGCATGCCCATCGAGGTGGGAATACTCTAGATCAGATAAAAACTTTTATTGGATATTGGAGCAAGTTAAAAGTGGCTTTATAGTAAATTCACCCCACTCTCGGTGCTTGGCGCCATTGTACTTTGCTGGGCTCGTAAGCCGGCTTCGGTTGTTAGATTATCCTTGGGTCTGCAGATAATGGAACGTGACCATTCCTTATGTATGGAACTAACCATGGTTAATTAAAATTTATGTTGAGCACAATCTTTTCGTTAATTTAATGTCTTTTTTTGAGAAGAATCATTTAAAAAAAAAACCGAGTTGGTCTACAATTAAATAAAAAATTGTACCCAGACAAACTATGAACGGGCTAGTTAGAATTTTAAAAAAGTAAAGTATCTGTATATAAAACTGTTTGTTGCGACTGACTGGCTGACAAACTGTCCAAAGGCTAGTTAAAATTTTAAATTCATTTATTAAACTCTTTAAATAAAACTGAAAAAAATAAATCTAGGAAAGTGAAACGTTCACTGTAGTTAACTTACGGAAGGGTGTACACTAAGATATTCCACCCGCAAGTGTGGAAAAATCGCGAAAACGGTTTGTATGCAACTTTTTTGTTTACCATTCAATCGGCCTCAGACCCATTTTCATAGATATTTGTTCAAATTCATTAAAGTGGTGTTTCGCACTTTTTGAAAAATCTATTCCCCTTACAAATAAGGGTCAAGGATTTGGTTTCGGATTCAAATTCATTTCCAAGGATCCTTATAAAAAATCATTTGAGACTTGATTCAGATTTTTCGGCAAGTCCAAGCTTCCCTGAGATTCAATGAATCTTAGGTTTTGTCTGGTTGATTCGAAACTTTTTTCAAAGAAGTAAATGATTACGTGTTACAGCGATTTCGAAAATTCCATACGCAACGGTGGAAAATTGGCGGAAAACTTGCAACCCTTTGTTTATATTCGGATCGGCTTCAAACTCATTTTAAAATTCATTCAAAATCCACCGCTCTTGGATGGAAAGTGTGGTTCAAAGGATTATTGCAGTTAAGTTAGCAAGGATAGATTTAAAATACCCGCTGGTAGGTTTTGAAAGTATAGAGTGTATCAATAATGACTTCGTTCAGCGACTTATATATTCTTTGGTAACGAGAAAAACCTAAGTTCAAAATTTTAAGTCTCTAGCTTCTATAAGTTTCTGAGATCGACAAAATTATAAAGACAAAGACGGTACAGTACCCTCTCTAGTGGGTACCCCTAGTGGGCCGTCTCCAGCAACCAGATTTCCTCACTTCTCATTAGAATGTTCGGTACACCTTTATAAATAGCAGAGTCAGAGCAACTCTATCAGCCACAGCTGCTATACAAATATTGGCTTCGAACACTAGAAGCCTGTATATTTGCATTGCTCTCTGGTAGGTAGTCTAGGGCCAAGCAACCCGATAATTATCCAATACATCGTCAAAACTAAAGTCATGGAGACTCATTATGGAGTATTTAGTCCAAGTGGCATTGGGAAATCCGCGGTGTCAGCATTTGAGATGGAAACATGCCAGATGTTTTATAGTTTCAGTAGACATTCACAATATAAGATTTGTTCAAGATTAGCACAATGAATCAAATGTGCAAAACTAACTAACAAAAGTCAACAAGACTCATTTTATTAAACTTTATTTTGTTTGTTTGCCTTATGGCGTGTTTTCATCTGCAGTGTTTGGTATTAACCTAGGCTCCAACTGAGCAAATCGACTAGATTGTAGTAATTGTTTCCGACCCATAATAGATAGCTTCATATAAGTTCTTATTTAAGTTGCCTCCAAACACCATCTGCCCTCTTCGTGATACTCTTCGTATGACTTCCGATATTTCGATGTAATAGTTAATATATAGAAACCTTGTCCTGATTCTTTTTTTTCTTCTATATAACATTCGATTATATTTAACTACAGTGGCTGGCTTTAAGTGTCTTGTCTTACATAAATGAAAACTATCATATTTCTAAAGAGACTTCACAAATAAATCTTAATCTCCTTCAAACATTTCCAAACATTTCGTACAATTTTTGATTTGCTTTGCCTCACAATGACACAACAGAATTCTCTTATTACCACATTAATGAGCTCCGACCCCATAAAGTATATTTATTCTTGATCAGTATCAACAGCCAAGTCGATATAGCCATGTCCGTCTGACTGTTTCTATGCGAACTAGTCTCTCAGTTTTAAAGCTATCTTTATGAAACTTTGCAGAAGTCCCTCTTTCTGTTGCACGCAGATCATATGTCAAAATCAGCTGGATCGGACCACTATTATGTACATATAGCTGCCATAGGAACGATCGGTCAAAAAGTAGGTTCTTGTATGAAAAACATTTTTGTTTATAAAGTTATCTTGATCAAACTAGGTATTTATTAGTTTTACAACGCTCCTCATATATATGCGAAATCCTATTAAGATCGGACCACTATATCATATAGCTGCCATAGGAACGATCGGTCGAAATTAAGTTGTTGTATGGAAAACTTTTTGTCTTTCAAGACATCTTAACCATACTCGGTTAATTAACTGTCATTAACTATTTTCCCTGTGCTGTGGCAAAGCACTATGAGCATTATGAAAAGGTTGGGTCTGCAAGGGTATGAAATCTTCGGCGTGCCGAAGATAGCCCTTCCTTCTCGTTTTTTTTTTTAATTTTCAAAATTTTGAAAAGGTTGTTTGGCCAAATCGGGGGTTTGGGTGACAAAATCCGCCATAACTTTTGTAAATCTCACCCATTTTTAACAAAATTTAAAAGATTTTAAATTAAAAAAACCCCTGCATTCGAACAATTTTTAAAAATTTTCGTTTCGTGTCCCCAAATTGTACAAATATGTTCGTTACCTGAAATGTGGTCTACGCTCTTGACTTGTGTTATCTTAAAAGTAATAAGGCTGAAATTCATTTTATTTTTTGTTGTTCGAAGGTGAGACCGACTGACAGAAATTTGAAAAATTGTGCGAGAATAGGTTAGCCGAAATTTGTGTGCTTAACAATATCCAAAAGTATTATCTGCAAACGTAAGCCTGCGAGGCTAAGGTGTCTGAGCATCAGACTAACAAGCAAGACTTCGCCGGCTCAAACCCAGCAGCACTTGTTAAATGATACATTCTACTTTATTAACTTGCTATTTTAGCAAAGAAAAACAATAATAACGCAGTCTTATGTATTATTTGGAAGTTAGTCTTCGGGTTCTATCTCCCGAAGACTGTAAATAGAATATATTTTAAATTTTAAATTAGAAAAATTGATATATGAAGAATAACTAAAGCAACGAGAGGAATTTGGAGTTTCTAAGCTAGTTTTTGTCATCGATGTGTAAATTAAGAGATTGGGGCGCTCGCCGTTGAAAAAGTTTTGTATATTTTTTGAAGTTGACAAGAATTACACAAACAATTTGGGTACTACGCGCATTTTCAATATTATTAATATAACCCGAGCTAAGACGGGTAATTTCTTCTAGCATATAGTATATTAATACATATTTACTATTTATTATCTAAACGTAAATGATTTCAATGCTATTCCAATCAAAACTTCGCGCAGAATCATGTGTAAGGTTGCGAGCCAGGGCAACCCCCAGAAATGTTGCGGAGTTCGTGGCCAAAAGCTGGCACTGACATGGTTCGTGTCTCCGATAATGCCTTGGTCAAGAGCGGCTATCCTTTGGAGCAGAAGGACTTGTTGGTTTTGCGCAGCTTCAGCCACCAGTCGAAGTCGTTCTTAATTACCTTCGCCTTTTCATCCCCAGGATTCTTCTGAGAGTCATCGCGATTTCGCGACCGGGCGAGCCGATGGGCCCGCAGGCCGGCTTCGGTGGTTAGATTATCCTTGGGCTTGCAGATTAAGGAACGTGACCATTCCTTAGCTTTCCCCAAAGGCCCCATAACAAATCCAAGTTTTTATTAAGCACAACTAATTTCGTTAACTTTATGTGTGTTTTTCGAGAAGACTCATCTTAAATAACTGAGTTAATCTCCAACGAAAACTTTTTCAAAAATAAAAAGCTGCCATTCTGCTTGATTTTGAAAATATAGAGAACAAATAAGGATTACAGAAATAAGGGTTACGAGTTTATACGCTGATCCCATTGAAAATTAGTTAATAGGGTAAAACTGTGCAAGTGCAAGTGTAATGGACAGAAGTGTAATGGACAGAAAGGAGCACATGCGACCCCATAAAGTGTATATATTCTTGATCAGCATCAATAGTCGAGTCGATCTAGCCATATCCGTCTGTCTGTCCATCCGTCTGTTCGTAAGCATGAAGGCGGCAACATTATTCCTGGTCGAAATTCATATGAAAATAGTGTCCTCAATTATCCTATATATACATAGGACGAAATTTGCCAGTCCCATAACTTGGTCAAAACTCAAGCGATTTTCATAAGGTTTGGCTTTTTATTCATGGGTTGGCCTCTAGATAAATTTGGCATCTAAATCTGGCATTACCAATATTGGTCCAAATTCATGTGTAAAAAGTGCCCTCAAATATCCTATAGAAACATAAGTCGAAATTTCCCACTGCCATAACTCGGTCAAAACTCAAGCGATTTTCATAAGGTTTGGCTTTCTATTCATGGTTTTGCCTCTAGATCAATCTGGCATCTCAATCTGGAAACATTATTTCTGGACCAAATTCATGTGAAAGTGGTACCCTTAAATATCCTATAGAAACATAGGTCAAATTTCCCCACTCCCATAACTCGGTCAAAACTCAACCGATTTTCATAAGGTTTGGCTTTTTATTCATGGGTTGGCCTCTAGATAAATTTGGCATCTAAATCTGGCCCTACCAATATTGGTCCAAATTCATGTGTAAAAAGTGCCCTCAAATATGCTATATAGACATAAGTCGAAATTTCCCACTGCCATAACTCGGTCAAAACTCAACCGATTTTCATAAGGTTTGGCTTTCTGTTCATGGGTTGGCCATGAAAATTTGATAAATTTGGCATCTCAATCTGGGAACATTACTTCTGGTCCAAATTCACCAAAAAAATGAAAAAAATGCCTTCAAATATTCTATATAGAGATATGGCCTCTAGATAAATTTGGCATCTAAATCTGGCAACACCATTATTGGTCCAAATTCATGTTAAAATGGGGCCCTCAAATATCATATAGAAACATAGGTCGAAATTCCCCACTCCCATAACTCGGTCAAAGCTCAACCGATTTTCAAAAGGTTTGGCTTTTTATTCATGTTTTTGCCTCTAGATCAATCTGGCATCTTAATCTGGAAACATTATTTCTGATCCAAATCCATGTGAAAATAGTGCCCTCAAATATGCTATATAGACATAAGTCGAAATTTCCCACTGCCATAACTCGGTCAA